TAATTATATTTACATGTGCTGTCTACAGAGCCATCCATTTGGAATTGATAACTTCTCAATCAACACAAAGTTTTTTGCTTGGTTTACGACGATTTATAGCCAGACGAGGAAGACCGAAAGTTATTTATAGCGATAATGGCACCAATTTTACAGGAGCTAACAACCTATTTAAATCGTTAGATTGGAAAATGATCGAAATTGAAGCATCTGTGAATAGGATTCAATGGAACTTTAATCCTCCTGCTTCCCCATGGTGGGGAGGATTTTGGGAAAGAATGGTGCAGATGGTTAAAAAACTTCTTCGTAGGGTTTTAGGTCAATCAGCTTTAAATTATGAAGAAATGACGAGCGTCCTTTGTGATTGTGAGACAACAATAAATTCTAGACCTCTCACTTATGTCTCAGAACAAGGGGATGAACTCATTCCATTGACGCCAGCTATGTTCTTGAAAGAAATAGATGATGTCGGAGTGCCAGATTTAGATCAACTTGATCAAGTAAATTTGAATAAAAGATTAAGGTACCAGCAAAATTTGCGCAATGCTTTAAGAGAAAGATTTAGAAGTGAGTACCTTGGGCAATTATTACAACGACCATCAAAGAGTAAACCGATTGAACCTTTGAAAGTAGGAGATATTGTTTTAATCGAAACTGACGGTAAAAAAAGAACTTTATGGCCAATGGCTAAAATAATAGATGTTTTTCCTGGTAAAGATGGGCAAGTACGAGTGGTTCGCCTTAAAACTTCATCCTGTGAACTCGTCAGGCCTGCGCAGAAGATTTTCCCACTCGAAATTTCCTCACCCACTGAACCTAATCTAATAAATAATGAAGCATGCAAGAATAAACCGGAGAAAGACTTGCAGGTAGTTGGAAAAACAGTAAGAACGAGAAGTGGAAGACTTATTAAAGTGCCAATTAAATTTTTGAGCTGAAAAACTTGGACTTTCGGAACAGTATTTTTAACATTATAATTTTCATTAATTTTACTCATAGAAATATAATTAGTTTTGATTAGTAAAGTAAACCTCCAATCAAAACGGTGGGAGGATTGTTACGTTTTGAAATAAGAATTGGATAGCTTTTGTATAATGGAGAGTTAGGTGAAAGCGTTTTATTTTGTCTCCAATAACTTTTGACTTATACAATGGAATTCGAGTTTATGTTTTAGAAATATGTTGCAATTTTGTATTTTCTTTTAAGAATTTTGTTTAATAAAATATAGGAGTGGAAGAAATAGGGTATATTTCTTGCCGTACTCAACACTGTTGCTTGGGTGGGAACTAGATCCCTAGATAGCATGGCTTCGAATCATCCTTCCCAGACAGTCACCAATAGCCCATCTTCCAACTCCAGTGTGACGTAAATAAATTACAACTACATTAAGATGAGCCGCTATGGCTCGGGGGATAGAGCGCTTGCCTTCCAATGGGGGGAACCGGGTCCGAGTCCCGGCGTTGGTTGGTCAATATGAATTACGCATCCGATTTGTGCTGACCACAGTGCTGACATGAAATATCCTCAATGATAGACGGATTATGAGTTAGAGTCCCCTTTCCATTAGGCTAATCGTGGGATGTTCTCGTCGACTTCCTTTCCATGTAACGCAAATGCGGGTTTGTCCCATCAAAAAGTCCTCCACGAAGGCAAATTTTCTCCCAATACTTGATTCAGGAGCTCCCTTGTCATCTGTATTGGGTTCAAAATTACAAGGCTACGGAGTTGAACATTAGCAGTCGTAAGCCCAAAAAATTGCGTCGACTGTTCCACGATGGTTATTAAATATCAACTACATTAAGATCAAGAATTAGAGAATTGTAAAAGGACTATCGGATTATAGAAATCAATGATTTTAAGGTAACTGAAAGATAACTTATTTAGGGTAAACTTACCAGTAAAGGAACACTTAAGCTTCGCTTGCCTTTTAAAAAATCATATTAATTTCAAAGTTCTTATTTTAGTTAAATGACAGTGTCAATATATTTGCTACTAATTGCAAATTATGTAAAAAAATTGTAGAGAACTTGCATAATATTGTTTTAAAGTTTTGGAGGTTCAAACAACAAGTAGTATGAAGACCAAGTGAAGGAGCAGCTCTTACCAGTGAAGGAACACAAAATTTCCCAATAAAGGAACACTTAATTTTGGTTATTTTTTAATGCTCTTTATGAATTTATATGCCATAAAAGTATCTAAAAACAAGCCTATTCTTAAAATTATAACATACAAATAATTGGAAAATGCTAATTTTTTTTTTTTGTAATCATGAATTGAAAAGTAAAGTGTCTACATATTAAAACATATTGTTCATTCACAGGGAATCATTCACTGGGAAGGAACATGTCTGTTCCTTCACTGGTTATTACAAGAAAATTAAAGTTTTTCCTTCATTTTCATTAACTTAGAAAAAACCCAGTAAAGGAACACTTGTTCCTTCACTGGTTTTTGATAGTTTGGTGATGCAGTGAATAAACACCCCCTTATCTCAGTACTTGATTATGCTATGATGCTTAAAAAAATAAAACGTAACTTCAATAACTATATTTTGAATTCTTATTTTCACAGTGAGAAAAATAAAACTATTACATGCAATTAATTCCACATCAAACATATAAATACAAACACTCACCTTATAATTTTTTAAAAGAAACAAGGTATTGCAGAGATAATAACAAATTTAAAAAAATTTCCAGAGAAGTCTATGAGACCAGGTAATCCAAAACATTGCTAGATGACTTCCTATTGTTTGGCAGTAAGCTATTGTTACCAATCAATCTAGCGAAAAACTTTCAAATTCTTGTTTTTAATCAATAGATTTGAAATGTTCCTTCACTGGATAGTGTTCCTTCACTGGTTGGTTTACCCTACATTCAAACACTTTAAAAATATGCAATAATAATTATGTAGTACTGTTGCAAATTTTTTTTTGTATTTTTATATGCAAATACACCAAATATTTTCCTCCGAATTTAGCATATTAATAGCGTCGTTACAAACATTTTTATGTATAAAATAAAGAAAACTATTTACCTTATCCATGCCAATGGTAGATGTCATACCGCTTACACATAAAACAACATACTCTGGTTTGGTTTCTGGTAAAGGAAATAATTCCTTTGCGCTTACACACTGAAAAAGAGCAATTTTTTATTTTTACAATGCAGAAAAAAATTATAAAATAACAACTTTTGTAAAAATAAAAATGTGATTAATGGAATCATCTTCCTCTTAAGTAAAATAATTAAATGATTCATAAGATTATTGAAACTTTTTTTTAAAAAAAAAAACCTTAAAAAAACAAAGAGAAAAAAGGCTGGATGTAAAGGATATTTAGGTATCAACATTTTACAGTATATTTTTGTCTGACGAATTGTTCGAAATGTGTAGATGCATTTTTTATTTTTACATGTTAATTTTGCATATATGTATTTTATATTTATATGACATTTGGTTTATATTTAAATTTTTCCTCTAAAATAATAATTCATTCTGCAACTCCTCATTTCTTTCAGAATTCTTAGTCAGTTAAAAGCCTGCTCTGTTTAAGATGCAGAATCAAGATAACCTGACTAATTAATTCGAAAATATTTCTTTCTTAGAAAATGGAATATCTAATAAAAAAAATTGTTTTGATTTATTTAGGCGCTATTATTTTAAAAGAAAATTATAATAAGCAAAAACTAAAACTTCATTAAAATATATTATTTCGTACACAAATATTCTTTTTGCTTAAAAATAATAAGTCGGTACTGCAAAATTCCTTATTTTAATTATTACTTTTACATTTCTTACTCAATTAAATTTATCAATTAAAAGTTTTAAATTTTTCTTGAATTAAAGAAAAAGAACTTAAAAACATGTCTTACTATATTTTAGCATCTATTTTTCAGTATTTACTTCTCAAACTGCTGTCTTATACAAATTATTTTTAAAGTTTAATTTAAATTTAATTTGGAAGAAATGTATATAGATTGATTTGGAAGATATTCATTCACACGAGAGAAAAATAAAATTAAGTTGGTTCTATTTAAGTTGGCTACAGAAAAATTAAGTTGACTTTCTCTATGATTCTAAGGCAATAACTTGATGTAAATTGATAATAATCACTCAAAAATTATTAAGCAAACACACTGTTTGCAGCTCGAAAATATATTTTAAAGTAGTTCTCCATCCAAAAAATTACAACAGACGAAAATCTTGAAAGTCAAACCCAAATAATAACTACTGTAAAGTCAAACATTCACTAAGCCTATCAATTACTTCTATGTGTTAATAGAATTTATTGGTTTGAAGGAATATAAAGTTTAATAACGCGATAGAACACAAGATTAAGAACTGGCTGTGCTGCGCTAAACTTAAATGGCATTATGAACTTAAGGTAAAGAAATCAAACAATATTACAAACCAAGTCTCTAAAAAATAAATAAATGAACAAATAAATATGTTTTTTTGATGAATAACAGTTTGTGACAAGCTTTAGAGCATGATTAATTTACAACAATGTTGTTTTTCTCAAATTTTAAGCTTTCAGTAATCTAGCATTAATAGTAAGATTTTGTAAGTTCTTTACAGTTGATTTGCAAATATGATATCAATATTTAAAAACGTATCATGCAAAATAACTGAAATAAAAATAATATAAACAATAATTGAAATATTATTAATGCAATAAGTTATTAGTCGTTAAATATTTGAAAATTTTACTTACCGCGTATTCAGCATATGCATTGAGATTACCGGACATATAAGCAACACTCTGACCAACTTTAACATTTTCGACCCCTTCACCTATTTCAACAATTTCTCCAACGCCCTGAAAATTTTTAATAAATTATCAGTGGCAAATGCTGTTATACAAAAGTAGATGCAAGAAAAAGAAATCATTTATATTGCAAAAAAAGCAACAAAATATAGAGTATGCATTTCTTTAATCATTTACACCAAATACTCAATTTGCTCATCATAATACATCAAAGGTTTTATTATAGGTAAATTGGGCACATGTTAAAAGCCTCAATTTTCTCCTTTTAGGTGGAGATAAATTTATTTAATATTTTTAGAGACATTTACTGAGAATACAACAAGCATTTTCATTTCAGTTTAGGAACTGATAAAGAAAATAATTATTGCAAACTATTTGTTTATGATCAACTTAATATGTTAGTTTAAGTTGTTTAGGATTTTTCTTCTAACATCATTAAAACTGTCAAAAAATATTAATTTCAGTTCAAACTGTAAAAGGTACAATGAGCAAAGAAAAAAAAGATATCCCCAGGAATAATTTTTGTTCTAATGATTGGATTTTCACGTATTAAGTGTCAATCTAAACGGTTTCTGGGAGGGACTTCAAATGTACTTATTAATTAGTGCTAACCATTAAATTACAAAATCAGACAAAACACACTTTCTCTGAATAAATATATATAGTTATTTTTCAAATATTTGGATTCCTGACCCTCAAAATACATGGGATAGACAAAATTTCGAAAAGATTGGATCATAAATTGGGGACTAATAAGTTATATACATTTTACGATAGTCTCAAAAAACAACCAAAGCAAAGTCGCTGCCATAAATGAATATTTTAAGATAACCTACTGACTAGCTCAAGAAAGGAATACCTAAAATTTTAATTCTGATAAACAACCAAGCAATCCTTCTAAGCATTGTTGCTAAGCAACCAAGTTCAGACAATAAAAAAATTGAAATTATGTTCTATGATTGCTCAGACATATTCTTCAATAGATAATAAAGAACATCTCGAAACTTCTAGGCAATAGATAATTTTTCAGCTGATTTCTAACCAAAAATCGAAGATCCTTTGAAAAGAAAATTTGAATTGATTTATGAATTATTTATGATTTTCTAAGCTTTGGAAATTTGAATGAATTTTTTTTACATCTGACATTACTTAGGATTTTTTACGTTGTTTTTACTTCATTTATACGATGATTTCATACTAAAATCAAATTTGCGTAACTTATTATAACTATAAACAAAATCTCAGGTATAATAATTTTACAGCCTTGATAGAGTCTCCTAACAAGAAAGTTTAAGTAAACAGATACGAAACAGGTTTGGTTTTTGAGCCTTCATTAAAAAAAAGCTTGATTTTATTCCCACTGCACTCCACCTGGCCCTATAAAATACTTAAACTGACGTTTAAAACCTCAAATAATTCGTTATAACTTTTTGCACACATAAACGGCTTACTCTTATCGAAGTTTATATTTTAACTAATATTGTAATACCGTATTACTTTGTCAGAATTATCAATACATCGAAACTGTAGTTGGACTTCTGAAATCGTTTATATCTAATTAAAAAATGGCACCATGAGTTAAAACCTTGACAAAAATTAACAAATATAATCTTTTTTATCGATTGAGTGATGATTAATTCAAAAATTAAATTTTATGCCATTCATTTTTCGTAAAATGCATTTAACTTGAATTTAGGAACTGAAAATATAGCGATAAAAAACAAAGTATTAGTAGAAAAGAGGTTAATTTCCCCTATGAGTTCCTAGGTTCAAAAGCATTCGTAAAATGAAATAGTCACTTTCATTATTTTTCCTTATTGTAATCTTTCCATTATCTTTTATTTATTTTTTTTATTAATAAAACTGGACAATCTATACAAATTTTATACAAAAAGAATATATATTTAATCTAGTACAGCTAAGCTAGTATGATAATTTAAATAATTTGATGCTTTAGGATGATTTCAAACAAAAATATACATAAAAATAAAGTAATGATATAAAAAAGAAATAATTTTTAGCCTTACTTAAAGTGTAGTTTTTCATATAATTTCGATTAAAGTTCATTTTTTCATGTGCAAGAAAATAGGCTGCATGCCATTACTTATCGAATGAACCTTTTCATTTAATTTTCATTTTTTTAAAGACCGAAAAATCAAATATTTTGGTTACTGTGATAAAAAACTTTTCGTAGAAAAATTAAAAACTTGATAATCATACTAAACATAAAAAGTATTTAAACTCATCAGTAAGGACATAAAAAGTTTCGGGAAATATTTCTGAAAAAAAACATACATTAAATTCGAATTAAAACATCTAATTAAACAAACATTTTCGATCAACAATTTTGAAGTAAATAAGATTCTTTCTTTAAATAAATAAAAATAAACAAAATCTCAACACTTCGCATTTAAAGTTTATAAAATTATTTCATACCTCAAACCCAATCGCAAATGGTAGTTTTCCGTCAGTGAAGTATCTCCCCTTTGTAATATTAATGTCAGTAGCATTAATTCCAACGTATCTAAAAAAAAGTGTGAAATCGAAAAGATTGAAAAATAAGTTAGATTTAATAATGGAAATTATATTTAAAATGTTTCCAAGTAATGAAATATTAAAAACACTGCATTGAAATATTTAAATAAATAACGTGCCTGTCGCTGTTTAATATCTTTATCGTTTCAAAAGGTCTAATAATGAAGCTATGGCTAACATCTAAATCAAAAATTTTATTCTGTAACCGTCGTAGAACAGCCGTCCCAATTTTCAGTTTAGGACTATTAAAGTTCAACTCCGTAGCCTTGCAATTTTGAACCCAATCCAGAAGACAAGGGAACTCCTGGATCAAGTATTGGGAGAAATCTTGCCTTTCGTGACCCTTATTGGAGCTACATAAAGAGAAAAATCACGAAAGCCTCCCACTGTTAGTCTAATGGTAAGGAGACTAACCCATGACCAGTCTACCACTGAGAATATTTTACTTCAGCATTGTGGTCTTTGCGATCCGGGTGCGGAATTCGTATTAACCAGTCATTGCTGGTATTCGAATCCAGGTCCTCTATCTCTTAAGCCACCGTGGCATCAACATTTATCGTTGCAATTTTTATAACAAAGATTAATGGTATCTATTGCATATCAATATTTAAAAACAAAAATGCGTAAATATTAGGGATCGCAAAGTAATATTTAAGCGAAGTGGAAACAAGAAGTATCGAAATTTTCCCAATTGTTATTATGAGAGGAAAGGCGAAAATATTGAAACCAATTTGATTGTTTGATGAACCTTGGAAATAGTCCTAATAATTCGATTCAAATCTTCAATACTTCAAACAGAAATGGAAGTTTTCAACATCATCATCTTTAGTTCGATCAATTTTATCATCGCTTTTCTGTATTCCTTTTTATATTTTTTCGAACAATAATGTATTACGAAGATTAAGTTCATTTCTTCTAAAAATATTTATTACGTGTGTTCATAAATTATAAAATCCCTAAATTCTAAAATCCTCAATAAAAGACATAATAATCTAAATGTCCCTATTGAAAGCTTTTTTCCGTATTCTATTCATTTAATTCTATGTAGATACAAGTTGCATTACAAGTAATCACTTAGGGTTAAATGATAAATATTTGAAACCCTTATTTGAATAAATATTTTTAACACATAATTTAAAAATTTTATATTCCTAAACCTCTTTTAAAAATTATAATAAAAATTTGATTTAAAGGTGAACTATTTAAACAGAAATAGAAAATTTAGCAATAACTCAACTAATACTCACTTGTTTTTTACGCAAACTTCCCCTTTTGAAGGACAGCAAATAGCAACTTCTTCAATGACCACAGCTTCTCGGAAATTAGTGGTTAATTTCTGAACCATCATTCGCCTATGAGTTTTTGGCTTTGAAGACATTTTGAATTCTAGATAATTTATGCATGACAGTTAAAATAGATGAAAAGGATATTAATGGAAAAATGCACTTAATGATGTCTTAAAATTTTTGAAAATCAAAACAACTACAATAAAGAAATATGAATGCAATAATTGCTTGAATGTAGTGCTTAATGTCACGGTTGCTGGATGTGGTTATGTTGTGCTAAAATCAAGGAAAATAAAGATTTATGAGGTTACATTCTATAAACTAACTGAAGAGCAAATGGCTGACTAATACGAGATACAAGACGAGAGAACCGAATTAAAATAACATCCGAGTGATTTTTAGCAGCTGGAGTCAGAAAGACCCGTTTAATATACGATACCATTGGCCATGTAGGGAGAAACGCGCGACCTCGTATATGTGACCAGGATCGTAAAAGGAATTAAGATCTAGACATTCGTGGGTAAATTGAAAAATCAGGCTCTTTGCAAACTACTGATGTGTACTAAGTGACATCGGTATTTTGCAAAGTGACAAATTTTCTAATCAGCCTACGATCTAACATTATTCGAAGACAAACAAATTTCAAAAATAACATTTTCTTCTAGTATAAGTAACAAGAATTTTTATAGAGAGGAAAACGAAAGCTTTCCACAACTAATCGAAAGCAAAATTATTTGCTATTTGTGGTATTAATTCAAGACACAAAAAAAAAACTTCTTAAACTGCTAGTGAGACTAATAAGTGATTCATCCATAAAATTACCTTGAATCCATATAAAAATGCATTAGAACACAAATCTAAAAACAGGTTATAAAATATTTTATATATATATATCTAAGCTTTCGTATTTGACACGGTGGTAAAAATGTCACATTTTAAATTTCGCTATATTTTTATCATCTGCATTAAAATAAATAAATGAACTCAATCTAGCGTCACATGTAAAATGTTACCATGCATTTGAAGGGAAAGCAAAAATAATGCATAAAATAAAATATTTCGGAGAATGCTAAATATATAAGATTCAAAACTATTTTTTTATAAAAGAAATTTAAACATTTCATATTAATCATAGAAGTGAAAGAATAATGTGCCTAATTTAAAATGACAGTAGCAAATGAGTATATTCTAGGCTATGCAATTTAATTTTTTTAATTATTTAAAGTGTACCGTTGAGATTAGGAAGTATTAAGAAAATCAAGAAAAATTTTCAGACTAGGAGGACTTTTATTTTTGATATATGGGCGATTCGAATACCTCAAATTGTGTCATTGTACGATTTGTATAACAATAATAAAGTTCATAATATTTTTTAAAAAAATACGGAATTTTTCAAAATTATAACAAATTATAATAAATAAACTAACGTATATTTTTGAAAGGACGTCCGTTTATTTATTTATTTTTTAAGATTTGTTATGAATGGAAATTTTCGTGAAGCAAATGTTAGCTTTTTTTTATTCCAAATTTTTACAATTAAAACTTGGATCTAGAAATATTTCACTCAGTTCCAAATCGCCTATTTCATAAGAATTCTTTCATTTATTTTGGTAAAAAATCATTACTTTCTTCTTCAAAGTAATAATTTCCGTTTTTATTGTAAAATATATACCTTAAAAATCAATAAGTCTAACAAATCTTTAAAAACCAAGATACTTTACGAAAGTCAACACTTTTTTAAAGATACAGTAAAAATGCTGAAATGAAGAATTCTAAGAATCTCAAATATTGACACGCAAAATTTAGTACCGAAATACACATAAGCTATAATACTTTTTCATATTCCAAACATTAGTAGTCATTTTAATATAACATTGTTTGACAGATGTATTTTTAAACTACACAAAAGCGTTAACAGGTTGTAAGTAAAGAAAGTAGTATACCTGGAATAGAAGTTAAGAAATACAACACGCAGAGTAAGTGTTGTTTACACTCATAAGCTCAATATTCTATTGTGTTTAAGAACCCCGCTCTGGCTCTCCCAGGCGAGACTACGCTTCTCTATTCTACCAATCACAGCACAGATATTGTCACTGGAATTCGGGGACATTTTTATTTTATTTCGTTTACTTGTTGGTAAGGATATCTTCCAGTCGGACTCTGTGTAAATTTTTTTTAAACAAAAATTCGTTAGGGAATAAGCTTCATACCATCAGAACTACTACTTTCTTTTTCACAATTAAAAGCCTTATACACTATAGAACATGAATTCTTATTTAATACAGACGATATTTGCTTACAGCTTAAAAGTATATTCAACAAGCGATTTTTAAAAAGATATATTTTTTTATATTAAATTCTATAGTAAGTATTCTAACCTTTAAATCTCTCCAGCTTTTTTGGAACATTTCAATTTTAGTATCTGCTGCTTGTTCTAATATTATTCCTTTTATTATAGGACAAATATTAAAGTATAGACATATTTTAGAACATTAAAAAATTAATGAAATATTTGTTTCAAAGTTTAAATCAAATTAAAAAAACTGAGGAAATAATTTACAACCAAAACTGCATTACTATATTGTATTTCAGAAAATAAAAAAAATGAGAAAGTACAAAATTATGAACTAGAAAACTATAAAAAAATGCAAAAGATTTTTTTAATTTACTTGCTTTGAAACACTTTTATATTCGAGATTTATTTTAATAGTTTTAGTTTTGAAAAGAGTTTACCATTTTTTAAAAAAATTGTTTAGAAAAAAGATGTGAAGTCGTTATACCATACCAAATCATACCATAACGAAAAAGCTGGGGAGAAATATTTTTATTTGTCTATTTACTATACCTTTGACGAAAAATTTGTATTTGAAAACTTATTTCATCTAAAGGGAGTTGCAGAAATGCGTTATTGCCTCGAAAGGTTTAGGAAATTGTAAGAGTTTGAATTGTAAAAACCTCTTTATAACTTTGATTTTTTAATATAAATATTCTTAACTAGTATAAAAACTGAAAAGTTATTAATATGATAACCGAAAAGTACTGAATGAATGTCAAATTTAGTATGCTTTTTTAGTATACTTTAGTATACAAATATAGTACTTTTCTTAATCAGGCTACGACTTTGTAGTATGCAACGCAATATCCCGTGGAAAAAATCTTGTCTTCTAATGTTACAAGTGAGGCTACATGCAGTAAAATACTTTTTGATTCTTTTTTTAATTTTATTTTCGTACTTTTTAGCTGATTTAGATATTAAAAGATGCTAGACAATATAATTAGTTTTCCCGGAAATTTTTTTAAATTAAATCTGCCCGTTTATGATTGATTGAACTATAAAACTGCACTTATATCCACTAAATCTTAGTTTGCATTAATATATTAAGGGGGAAAGCAATTTAATTGGAATTTATTTTTAAAAAAAATTCTTATGCATTCAAGTGAAACTTGGCTATTTATGTATCCCAGAGAATTCAGTGTCTTTAAAATTTCCACGATTGTAGCCTCTGAATTTTATTAATTTGACTTTTAGGAAATGCTCCAAACTAGTTTCACTGCTAAAAAAAGGATGAAAATATAAATAACTTTCCTTAAAATTCCATTGTTCTTTAAATTTCCGTAAATTCCTTAAATTTGTTCAAAATAGTAAAACTCAGAAAGATTTTCTTTTATAAATTGGTTCTTACAAAATACTCCAAGATGTTAAAAAATAAAATTAAATAAATAAAATTAAATAAATAAAATTAAATAAACGAAAAATGACGTGAAATAAATCACTTAACATTTAAAATTCTAGTGTGTTTTTAAGTTTAATAATTATAAAACTGAATGTTTTTACTCAATTATCTCTTAGAAATTATCTTAATATAGTTCAAATATTAAGAAAAACGCAGAAATAATGTTTTATAATATTATATTTGAAAATATCCCAAGGAAAAAAGATCAAAGTTCATCAACATTATTAAAAATAGTATGCTTATTTTCATAATCTAAAACTTTATAAATAAATTAAATCCCTTACATTTAGCACGTATGCAAAAACTCACATTATCACATTAAAATAATAATTTAAAATAGTATTTTTTATAATTATCAATGACAAAGAAAATAACCAGCATTTACAAAATAATAAATATTGGAAAACACTAAAAAACCGTAAGAATAAAAGGTAATTTTTAAACATTATAGATTAAATAATTTTTAAATGTCAGACATAAAATAAAATTTTAGTTTTTGAATGTCAAACAAAAACAAAATCTTCCCCAAGATAATACAAATTAATCATAACATCGAAAGTTACAAAAATGACGTAGATAAAATCGCACATGATTAACTTAGAATGTCATTAAAACAGGTTCGCATAACTAAAAACAGACTTACAATACAAATTCGATGTAGCGACTGGAAGAAACGAGAATGACTTTCTTAACTTCTAATTTAGAAGTGTGCGACTTCTAACACTACGCCTCTCTTAACGTGATAAGAAAATTGATATCAAAAATGAAGTTCAAGGATAAATTCATAGCGTCTTATTTACAGTTTGAGTCATCTAAGCAAGATAAATAAAGGAAGCTTTTTTAAGGCTTTTGCAATGTAAATAAAGTATCTTATTTACTATCGTAATTCAAAAATAGAGCGTGCCAGAAATATATACATAAAAATAAAGTTGTGTTTCTTTCTGTAAGAAAAAGTTATATCTAAACACGCTAAGTATGTTGTTAACCATTTTAAATAACCCTAAACCCAGAAATGTTAAAAGATATTATGTATATTTATATTTATGAATTGCCTTACAAATTTGCATTGTAGAAAATCGTTTGTAATAAGATTTGAAAAGTAGTTTATAAAAGGAATAGACAGAACGACATTTAAATGTTTTGTATGAAGTGTGAAAAATGATCTTTCTAATTTCCAACATAATTTACCTCTTTAAAATAATTTCTTAAAAGTGTTTTATTTTGTCACTATTTCTTTAGCAACAGTTTAAAATTGAAGATTATAAAATACAGGTTCGAAAGCTGTCTTCCAAAAAAATCTTACATTAATTAAAGTTTAAGCTTTGATAAACATTTGAAACTTTTGAAAATTATTCGACAATTGTAGAATGTAAGTTGCACAAGATTTAAAAGCTCGTTTTTAAATACGTATTGTTTTTTAATGAAATGGTTCTTGTATTTTAACATTAGGAAAGAGCTATAGCCTAAAATTTTAAAAAAAAATAATAAAAAAATAAAAAATGAAAAAAAAAGCTTGAAAAATGTTTATTAGAATTTTTTTCTATTATTGGCAACAAAATGAAATGTTTGTTGAGTATATTGAGTTAAGATAACAAAATCTTATTTAAACCCTGAATATTACAGGTCTTATTTAAATACATTCTTAGCAAACCCACTTTTTAATTTAAGTGAAATGTAGCTATAATCTGAGGAACTTTTTTAAGACCTTCATTTTGAATGTGAACGCACTACTCAGACAAGAAATATATTACAGAATAGAAGAGACTAGTAAAAAGATGTCTTTTAACTCGTCACAGTGTGGTATTATATAATACGTGAGGAAAAACTTGTTTCTTTTTAACAACAGTTAAAATAACTATAACAGTGAAAGCAACAAGCATAGTAACTGATATATATTATAGCTATTTAAAATATAGTATATAGAGTACTTAATATTTATGTATTATAAATTTGTGTTAGATCTTCTACACTGTGTAAAACTTCTCCGAGTAATATTTTAAAAGTATATAAATTTAAAGCATCTAGTTAAAAGAATCTTTTCCTTTCTTTTTATCAAGAAGACATTTTATTAATTTTGATAAAAAGTATTTGGCGAATTTCATCAAAAATCATTTTAAGAAAAATTATAAATTCGCTTACAAGTGTGAAACTGCGAACAGCGGTACACTACACCCAAACTAATGGGACTTTGTTGATAGACTGCGCCCAACAACCTCTAGGGGATATTGCGAGTTTGCCGAATTCCGAGTCAGTTACGATTACAAATGTGTTGCTTAGAATTTTGCGAAATCTCAAAATTCTGGATATTTTTTGGTAGAAACTTATCAAGAAAGTTCCAACATTCTGAATGTGATCGTTACGCCGAACCCATTACCCATTGCTCCATTTTGTGTGGGTTCTACTGTCAAAATCAGCTTGCTGTCCTTTTAATTAATAAATGCTTGTATCCAATACACCGTCTAGTCAGTTCAGTTGGTAGTCTCTTTAAAAGACCATATTTACTGGATCCGATGTGTAAGAGAACCAGATTAATTGTTATTGTTGTTGTTGTTAATTTACGTCGCACTAGAGCTGCACAATGGGCTACCAGATTAATGGACAATATTTACTCTCGAAAAACTCGCCGAACAGGTTCCTGTTAGTATGTTTTTTTTCCTTCTAGCATGTGAAAAAAATTGCATCCAGTTAGAATGGTTCTTAACGGTTTTTTTTCTGGGGTATAAGTTTAATTCCCTATCAATCGAGACAATCAATCGAGCAAAGCCAGCAATCGAGTTTTGTTTTTCTCTGCATGTTTTGGAATTCCCTCTAACATAAGGGGGCCTCCCTGGCCGAGCGGTATCGCCGGTCCAAACGCTCTGTTAAGCGTGGAGGTAGCGGGTTCGAATCCCGCCGTAGCCCTGGATGTATTCCTTGTGATGTCTTTCTCTGAATTGTTCTATCTGTATTTTCTACTTGACAATGACTTATAAGCCTATATTGAGCGCACAAGTCAGCAAATTTATGTAATTTCACTAAACCAATAAGCTTACATAAGTTGCTGGTGGTTTCAGAGGGGAAAAAACTGAAATTTCTGTTTGTGTTTTCTTGTGGAAAGTCAACTCCTGTACAACGAATTTTTTTCGATACCTCATACCTCCTACCTGATGATAATGTCCCAATAAGGTAAAATGGTTACGGGCTCTTGCAAATGGTAATCCAGAGTTAAAAAGAATGTAACACAAACTTCAAAATTGTTTATAATTTTAACTTCTTCGAAATGTTATTGCTATACCACCACGGAATGTATTTCAACATCATGTTTTGTAACGCTTTTACTTTAGACATAGAATTTAAAATTAGTTTTAATGCATTTCCTTTTTTTCAGTTTTTATCACCGTAAAAGATTTTTGGGCAGATCAGTAGCGAATAATAGAAGTTTCACGAACAAAAAAATCCATCTACCTTCATCAAAACAGAAACGCAAACAATAGCGATTTCGTTCGCAAGTGCTTAACTCGCATTTTATCATCACCCAAATCAAGTTTTAAGCGGCCTCCCTGACCAAGGGGTATCGCCCTTTCAGCGTGAGGTAGCGGGTTCAAATCCCGCGTAACCTTAGATGTATCTTCGTGCTGTCCCTCTCTGAATTGTTTTATCTGTCTTTCATCTTGACAAAGGCTCATATTTTGCACAAAAAATAGGTTTCGTTTAAGTGGGAGAATTTGGAAATTATGTATTTATAATTACGCATAAAAATGTGACTATGGAGTATTTATTTTTATTTATTTTTCCCATAGACACGCCGGCGTATGTGCACAAAACAATTATGGCTGTTAAATTCTTGTGACATTGAAGAAAAAATAGCACAAAGAAGAAAAGGGCACTACAAAGACACATTCTGAGTTTTGGAGGAAATCGAACCAGCTACATCCACGTTACAGGGTGTTTGACAGAACGGCGAGGATATATTAAAAAATGTTTTGAGTTTAAATATCAAGGTCGGTACGTTACACTAGAGCTGCACAATTGGCTATTGGCGATGATTTGGGAAACATCCCTGGGGATGGTCCGAAGAATTTTTTATCCTCTGAGAGGGGATCTAATTTGTGAAGCCACTTCCTCAATTTAGAAATAGATCAGAAGGGTAAGTATATCGCATATATTCTGTGGGTTTGGAGCGGAGTCAAGGATTGAAACCCGGCTCCTCCTAACCAGAGTCCACTTCTCTAACCACGACCCCATTCACATGTCAAAGATCGTAAGTTCAGTTTCAATTCAGATTTTAAAAAATTGATGGAATGATGTTAGCTATTTTTGGGCTGAGAGATTTTCTATTTTTTCAATCAAGTATTAGAAATGATTCTTATCAAATAGTATAGACTCGCTAAGGTTCAGAAAGAGTAGAAAAAATTCAAACAGTTGAAAACGAGTGAATTACGCTCATAGATCGAAAAGATTTGGTATGCACCACTTGCACTACTTTCAAGAAAATGGCCCTCTACCTTGTTGTTTTGCGTGAGAAAGTGAAATCGTTTTTTGAAGGACGGGTATACATTTAGTAAGTAATATTTGGTTAAAGCTTTTTAATAAAGTTATTTATATATATTTTTAATTAATAAATGC